GTCTACAACTTGCCCAAAATTGAGTACGTACCCCTACGAGTAAACCGAGCGGTGCTGGTTCGATCATGGCCACCAACATAATTGGCGCTGCCGCCGTGTCTCTGGGCGCCGCAGCTATCGCGCGCTCTAGACAGCCCTATTGCTGGTTTATCATTTCGTTTCACGTTTCACTGGGATCTGCGCTTCTTTTGCTTTTGGTTGGAATTGGGCGTTCTTTAGTTTATATATATACCAGCCTAGAGCTGTATTGCAACCTTGATATAACATAATTGTCGTAACATCCTTTTTACACGAATTCTGGCTGTCGCCAGAGCTGGATGCCCCAACAGTTATCGGACCCGGGCAAAGGCTCTTACTAAAAACGCATGACTAAAGTTCTCACGATTTGATTTCATGGAGGTAGGAATTTGGATGGCACAACAGACAGCGCCGACTCCGTGCCAGCAAAGTTGGTACATGAATGTGTGTCAGTTAAAATTATAAATCTCGGCGATTGCGTGCGCCTGTTGGGAACAAGGAAGGGCATGTCTACATGGGAACGATGATAATCATCGGATGAATACGCACCGGCAACGACGACGCCCGCAACGCCCGGACCAACCGACAGGGGCTGTGATGCGAGGAGCGGCCAAAGCGAGCTGCGAGCGACCAGGCCTTCGCCGCTTTGGGCTGTGGTGATGATGCGATGCGATGCCTGGACATGTGGCTTGCTGGCGATGCGAACTCGACAACAAAACCCGCACTCTCTCCCCAATTGTCATCACCCTCCCCCCCCCTTCCCACCCTCCTCCTCGCCATTTCTTTCAATAGCGTCTCTGTTGATCGGCTAACGCGCCAGTGCCCACGAATCCTGTATAAATAGTCCCACGTCCATTGATCGACCATCAAATCCCCTTGGAACCGCTTTCTCACTCGCACCATGAGCAACGCGGCAGGTGAGCACGCCCTCTGTCGTCCCCCGCAGCTTCCCTCAAGTGCTGACTGTGGATTCTCCAGCCCCACCAAACTCGTACATGAGCAGAATGGCAAACCAGAGTCTACGATCCGTTGTTATTCCATGTATGTTCATTGCCCCTACTTCTGGTCTGGCTTAACTTTTAGAGCATATAGTCGCAATGATTGGAGCCATCTGGTCTCTCACGTGGTAAGAACCCTCGTCGTGAAAGTGAACGTTTCGTGGGCTCACGCCGTTCTGACCTGCCGTGCGTACCTTTGCGGTTGCAGCTCGGTGAGTGCCTCCGTACCTTTGGTAGCGGACACCTGGGTGACCTAGCCTTGTTTAGATCTCTCTCTTCCAAGAGCTCGGCACAGATAGGGCGCGTAAGTCCTCCTTTCGTTCCTTTTTGTACACTACATGGTGGCTTACTTTCTTTCCTCGCACCAAGAACATCAGAAGAGGCTGGCCACCTTCTCGATCGTCCTTGGTTCATTGTATGTAGCTGTTACAGCAATGCTTCTCTTCGGCGTTGTCGCTGCTGCTTCCGTAAGTCATCTGCTAATAGCCGTTCATCTTTTCCCACTAAAATCGGTTCTGTACTTGTTCAGAGAAGCCTAGCTCTCATCCGCATCTTCGCCTTCCTTTCTGCCGTGGTGACCGTCATATTGATTGCGACCGGTCTTTTGCGGACGATCGTTCACTTTATGCTCAAGGTAATGAATGATACGTGATGCTGTTGATGTTAATTCTGCTAACTGTCGTGCTAAAGAACGCCCTGATCTCCGAATGCACTTCCCTTGCCACTGGCGAGAATGTGGTTGTTGTCTGGGGCTTCTGGAACTCGCAGACACATGAGACACTCACGGCGGACCAGGCAGCTCAATGTGCGTCCCTTAAATGATGTCATGGGACTGGCGTTCAATGCTCAATCTTTTGTTCCCTTTTAGTTTGCCAGGACGCCTGGAATCACGATTCTTTCAGCGAGATATTCTGGCTCCTTGCCGAGATCGGTGCGTCACTTATCTAGGCCTCTCGTATTCTGAAAATTTGATCACCCATCGTAGTCCTTTTGCCCCTGCTGACATTTATCGCCTTTGCTTACGCCCGACGAGAGTCAGCCCTCGCATCTGGCAGCATACGCACTCGTCTCCCCAGGGCTTACAACCCTGCGTATGCCGCTGGAAACGAGAGCAGTGTAACTCTACCCGAAGTCGCCTACGACCAGCCCTATGCGCCACCACCCGGCTCCCCTCCACCTTTCGACAAGACTCTGCCCGCATACGGCGCAGGAGAGATGGATAAGAAGGAGACTGATTCGTTGAAGACTGTCGTCGGGGATGACCCATTTGCTGACTTTGAAGAACAACCACGTCGCTAAGGTTTTGAGGTTGTATGAGCCAGAGACTCTTACCCCCGTTTCCCTACGACACGTGTACCTAATCTACATATCACCAATCCGAACTGTGTTTTTTCATGCTTTTTTGGTAGAAGGTCCCATCTACTTCAGAGGAAGGCCTTTGACTCTCGGAACAATCCGTACGGGATGGTTTCACCAAAGGTCTAGATTGGCGCATCAACCCGCGGCCTGTGTTCTCCCCAATCTTTTATTCATGGCCATTGACTGGCCACTCGCAGGATGCGCAAGATCTGCGAGTCGTGCCTCGCGCATGCGCATCAACAGCTGCGTCAAGAAAGCCGGGGTGACGACGTCGTCCCCCGCACTGTCACCCGCGGCGCTCGCGCCGAGGCCAGACTCGGGCGCGGCGTCCGAGTAGCGCTCCCATAGCGCGTAGAGCGAGAGGATCTCCTGCGCGATCATGGCGACCGTGGGAAGGGACACGCGGAGGCCGGCCATGAAGCCGACAAAGTCCTGCGGCGGGGGCGGGGGCGCGGAGGCGGGCTTGCCGCGGTGCGCGCTGCCGGAGCTGGTTGTGCGTGAGGAGCGGCGAGGGGCGGGGGCGGGGGCCGTGGATTGTGCTTGGATCGCTTCGCGGGTTTTGTCGTTTAGGACGAGGGTTAGGTAGATTGCTGCGATGGCGATCATGTGCGGTGGGTAGAGCAGGCAGAGCTCGGAGCGGTATGTGTCGTTGATGATGAACCTGGGTTGGGGACGGGACGCGGAAATGCGGTCAGTTTTTGGGGAGTATTTAGTATAGATGGGAGGGCATGAGGGTGAGGACGTGCCATGCTGTCTGCAACGGGCCTTCTTCTAGCTCGAGTCTTCCCTCGCCAGTGCCCCAGTATCGCGGACCGTTGTCGATGCCGACACCTACTTCCCCGGCTTCGGAGACCACAGCCTGCGCTGCCTCCTTCCCGCAGAGAGTGAGGAGGGTGCGGTATGGATGGAACACGATGAGGTCACACTCCAGGTCGCTCACGAGATAAAACTCCATCTCTGCGAGCTTTGAGTTGTCTGAAGGGAAGTTCTTGATGCCGTATCCCTCCTCTGGCCATACAATTGAGTTGGACGCGATATTGGCGAAAATAGGGCTAACCCGCACGTACGGCTGAACATGAGGCGCGATTCGGAGACGACATTCTTGATGTGGACCGGAGACTCTTCTGCCTTTGCAGCTACGTAGCAACACGCAGCTATCACGATGAAAGGGTCCGTCTCGCAGTACAAGTTTTTGACGTAGAATCGTCTGAAAAAGATCGTGGCAGTGGCGATCACGCGCTGACGCAGGGGCAAGCGTTTGCCTAACATCGCGATGACTTGGACCACGCGTGAGCCGAAATGGAGAGTGTTTGGGAAAGTGGAACACTGTACGATTCGCAAAGTAGATGTTTAGGAAGTCAATGTGCTCTGGGGACTCGACATATTGGAGATCCTCGCTCCTAGCCCGCTTGAGCGTGGCACGATCTACTATCCAGCGTTTGCTGCGAAAAAGGTTTGAATGGAATCAAAAGTATGGGAATTGAGCTTACTTGTGGGAACTTGCCCAGAAGTCGGTCGCCATCGGAGCATGGTGTAGGTTAGTAGACAGCGTGGACTACAGTATTTGACACTGCGCGACCTCTGACCGATGATGTAGCTCTTCTCATACTACGACAACATTCACGATACGATGCCTACAACGGCACCACGAAAGCGCAACAGAAAGCGCAAGCGACGCCTAGCATCATCATCCTCTTCGTCCCCGTCTAGCTCTTCGGATTCCTCGTCGGATGAGACATCAACAAAAACACCCGTGCGGAAGGCACCTCTTAAAAAGCAAGCTACACCATCCTCGGTCGAAGAACCGTCGTCTCCCTCCTCGTCATCGTCATCGTCGTCAGATTCAGACAATGACGATGTGCCGTTTGCCAATGCACCAGTTGCACCCCCAACCTCCTCAGCAAAACCACTCCCCCCCGACTCGGAGCCCGCCACAGCGCGGCGTCGTCGCTCGCCCTCGCCCTCGCCACCACCGGCCGACGCACCGCCGTTCCTACCTCCAGAGGGGTCCAGCAACCGAGCGCAGGACGAGCAGGCTCTGCGGGACCGGTTCAGACAATTCTGGATGGCGTCCGTGGCGGACGCGTTTGGCGACGATCTGGAACAGATTCGAAAGGTGCGTAACAGTGCTGTCTGTACAGTATCCGCCGCCGAACAGAGTTTTTACCCTCGTCCCTCACGCTGATGCCAAAGGAGCCGGATATGACCAAATCGCGCCTAGCTCTGCTGATCGACTCGCTTGCTTCTGGCGGCGAAGTCTTCTCGTCCCACGTGCGCGAGGATGGGGGACTGAATGAAATGGATGTTGTATTGAACGGCGATCATGACATCTAGTGTGCGAGCATCTTTTGGTTTCCGTCACTAAAAGGCTCACGCCGTAGATTAGAGCCACGTCAAAATCATCCAAAGCACCAACGGAACAAATCCCTAGTCCATCTGGTTATTCTCTGTGGGATAGCTTTACTATGAGGGCCAGTGGGTTGGAGTATCTGTGAAGTGCTGTGCAAGTGCGACCTTGTTGTATGCATTATTCGACCAGACACACCAGGCCGTAGACGTTTTGCGTTGGCGTTGCTGTCAAGTAGGGTTTAGTCTGATAGATGCATAACTAAGCGTAGTTTTGGCGGCGCTATAGTGTAGTGGCTATCACAACGGATTCTGACTTTCTATGGTTATCTTAGCCATTTTCCGTTAACCCAGGTTCGAACCCTGGTAGCGCCTGTTGTTTTGTTCCCATGTTCTATTGGAAGTCAGGCAACCGAAAAGAAACACTTTAGGTCTGTCATAATTCAGAGAGGTCTAGAGACATGGGTTGGGGAACATAGTGCGGAAAGGAGACCAACCATGAACAATGCAAGGCTTGTGCAAATGTGAAGTTTTCCGTTGTTCAAACCTTCAACAAATATTGCACTTTGTGGGATATGAGTTAATACAGAGTCGACTGTACTATGAATTTATTGCAAACCAGTGACAACATAGACGCAGTTACATGTAGTCTTAGAGATCTACTAGGAGGTATATAGTATGGTGCGGAAGCAACTTTATGATGATTACTATCGTAAGCCCCAGATGTGGCTCGCTCGAACTCTGCCAACTTTGCTCGTCGTCTAATAGCCGGTGACAGGGCCATCTGGTTTTCTGCCGCCACCCAATGTTGGATTCGACGTGAAAGTCCCGGCATCACAGGCCCGGGAACAGTAGCGGGACAGACCATCGCGCTTCCTTGATAACTTCCGCCGCCATCTCATTTATCGACTAATACATCAAACTCTGCTTGAAGTTGGCTGCAATATTCTTCCGTGGATCTTCGCTTTTACCGGTACTGCGTCCGCGCGGCTGGCAGCATCAATTTTCTGGTTTGCCGAGTGGAATCACAGTCACACGTCCACTTCCAGCGATGTCCGATATCGCCAAGCCAATCGAGTCCAACTCAACACCAATAAACTTCACCGACTTTCTTTTGGCCCAGAAATCTGGGTACTTCCGTGCGGTGGGCGAAGGCGAGGCGCAAAAGAACGCCTGGACAATTTCGATGGGTAATGAGGCTGGTGGTTGGTTTTAAATGTTTGCCCGTCGCTACTACTCAATCTCTGATGAGTCAATGTTCATCTAGATCTCGACTCGCTAGCCAGTGCCGTTTCATATGCGTGGTATGCCACCCTCCACCTTGGGCAACCGACGGTACCACTTCTACAGACGCGGCGTGACGACCTCTCGCTTCGCGCGGAAAACCTGTACGCGCTCGAATTCAGCGGCGTCGACCCTGCACATCTACTCGCTGGCGATGAACTCCCGGCCGACTCTCCACCCGCTGTCAAGTATGCACTACAGGATCACAACACACTCGCGGGGCGCTTTGCAGAAGACAAAGATGTGCGTGTAGTCGCGATCGTGGATCACCATGCGGACGAGCATCATCACCTCGACGCGACGCCGCGCATCATTGAAGTACCCACGGGCTCGTGCTCCTCGCTGGTCGCACGCCTGATCCAGAAGGAATGGCCCGAGGGAATGACCCGTACCGTTGCGCGGCTGTTACTCTGTGCCGTGTTGATCGATACCGGGGGACTCAAGTCTGGCGGGAAGGCGGAAGCTACCGACCTGCAAGTCGCGCCGTTCTTGTTCGAAAGAGCAGAGCTCGTGAGCACGAGTGTAGGAGCAGTGGTGGACGTTCAGCATGTGAAGGAGGCCAAGGATCTGACGCAAATTCTGGAAACCACCAAGTCGAGCGTCGACTTGCTCAGTCCGCGGGATCTCGTTCGACGGGACTACAAAGAATATCAGTTCGTTCCCGGGTGGAAGGCAGAAGGGACAGTTCTCGTTGGGCTAGCGAGCGTGCCCAGGGGCATTGAAGGGATCACCGGAGGCGACAAAAATGGGGGAAGGAAGGTGGCAACGGCCTGGATTGCGTGGCTAAATGAGAGGGGCTTGGACGCGCTCGGTGTCTTGACGAGTTGGAAGGACGAGGGGAAAGGGAGCAAAAAGGGAAAGCACCGGAGAGAGATGGTATGGGTCGTTCGGGCCGACAAGGGGTTGAAGGGGCGGCTGTGGAAGGGATTGGAAGGGAGCAAGGAGCTACAGCTGGAGCGAAGGGGAAGGGGAAAGTACACGGCCGGGATGGTGGAAGAGGCGGGTGCGGCAGATCTCAAGATTCGGGTGTATGAACAGGGCAATTGTCAGGCAACGCGCAAAGTGACAGCGCCACTTGTCAAGGCCATCATCGAACTTAAAAATTAAAATAAATAAATAAAAATTACGTCACTTACGTAATGACCTCCTTTAATCTCCTCGGCGCCTCTTTCTCCCGTCTCTTTTACCTTACACCACCACCCTCCGTCTCCTCCCACCTCTCCTTTCTCCTCTTGCGGTCCAATCTCACCTCCTTGTGAGCCATCAATGGACCACTCGTCTCCTCTACCAGACGACTCTATCCCAAACCCCACCACCGCCTCGGCTGCCGCTCCTACCTCATCCACTCAACAGTCCTCAGCCCCGAAATTCTCAAATGGACTGTCAGTTCGCTCCCTCTCCTCCTGGTCTATCTAATGCATCCTGCGCTCAGGCATATACGCTCACGTATAACGGTCGTATGTGCAGAGGTATGCCAACATGCCGTGTTACTCGCTCTCATACCGCTCTAACCAAAATAAATAAATAAGTGTAAACGTTTGAAGCTAAGATGTGACAGGCGTAACCCCTGTGGCTCTTGCGTAAAGCGCGACACTGTCCAGCGCTGTCAGTACACTGCTGCCGCTGCAGAGAAGATGTCCGTCCTTCCTTCTCCCCCGACTCGTTTTCCCACTGACGGTGTATCTCCAGCGATGTGCAGTCGCTACACAACCGGCTTCAAATCGTCGAGTCCCAGATCGCTCAGATATTTGCTGGTGGACTTCGTGTCCCCACCGCACTCGCTAGCGTCTCCTCAGACAACTTCCCCTTCCCTCACAATGACCACACCATACTGGCTCTCGGTCACTCTGGGTCTTCCGTTACCGTCTCACTCGACGATGTCGCCGCTCTTTGGCTTGAGCATCTCGACTTTCCTCGGTCATGTCCTCTCGATGTGAACTCTTCTTACTCTCCCGCCCCCTCAATGCCCTCTATGCCGGTCCAGGTGGAGCCGTGCTCGTCAGACTTGGCTGTGCACGATGAACCTGCCTTCACTGCTACAGTCCCGTCGTTCACTATCTATTATCCGACTTCCGTCTCTCAAGCTGTCGTCACGCCTTCTCTAGTTGCTTGGTTGCCCGCTACCTCAACTACGCGGTCGCGCATCACTACAGCCATCGAGGAGACTATGAAAATGCGCCCATGCTTCAGTATGAAACACTTCCGTACTCGGGCTGAGAGTATGTTTGCTTGGGCCAAGGAGGAGGAAGGACGAGGTTCCGGGCCAAGCGCAAGTACCTCGAACGCAAAAGCAGACTTTGCGAGGTCGATCTTCTTTCCAACATTCTATCCCCCTCCACGACCTACACCCACTCTTTCATTCTTCGCCTCCGTCTCGGTTGCATATGCCCTTGGCGTCTTGGTCTGTAAAGAGAATGAGGCGGTCAACGATATCGATTCTCAAAAGGCGGCCATGGGGCCAAAAAATCCTCGTTTGGAAGATAATCGTGCTGTTAATCCCCAGAAAGGGGGGACATGGACAAAGTATTCCGCATCTGGGTTATTTGCCCTGTCAAGACAATCTATAGCCGCCTTTGAGATGGCACATACGTATGACCTTGATTCAGTGATTACGTATCTGTTGCAGATTGTCTATCTGCTCCACGATAGCAGACCCCGTGTTGCGCACATGATTTATCCTCTCTTGGGTAAAGTGATCAATGTCGCACATATGATGGGCCTTTCCACAGATCCGGATGAGTTCCCTGGCAAATACAGTCTATTTGAAGCTGAACAGCGGAGACGCGTTTGGTGGGATATCTATTATTACGACGTGTAAGTCGTCTTCTTCGCTTCTGTGCCTTGCTCATCCCCCCGGATCTGGCAGATTCATCTCCGATGCTATGGGACAAGCGCCTTCGATTCAGGACGGCACATTCACGACGAAGCTGCCCGCCGATGTAGATGAGGAACAGTTTGGGCCTTCCTCGACTTCTTTGCCTCTTCCCCTTCCTCGCCGGGCCGGCGGCGATCCAACCGAAGTTGGCTTTGCTTATTTTATCCAGAAGTGTCGGTTCGTTGTGGCCTTGCCGACTCTTCGTTTTTGGTCGCTAATGTATCCTCAGCCTCGCTCAGCTTGTCAAGAGCGTCAAAATGCGATGCCCTCGTGAAAGCCCCAACGACTCTTCAGATTCATCCGCTGAGCGCGCAGAACAGTTCGAGTCTGAAGTCAAGAATTGGTTGTCGGAGCTGCCCAAAGTGTTTCGTTTTGAGCCCAACAGCATCGAGACTACTTCATCCTCCAAAGTCCCCGTTTCGCCGCATCTTCAAGCCCAGCGATGTGAACTCGCCATCATTGCGAATCAACTCATCCTGAAAGTGTTCCTTCCGTACCTCAAGAATTACAGTGGGCCATCTTTCGATGGCGTCCCATGCCGCGCAGTTTCTAGCGTCGTCGATGCGGGGCACATTATTCTTCAAGCCATGCGCATCCTCCACTCCACTTGGAGACAATCCCAGCCCGCTGCTTTCTTATTCTACCCATTCGGGCGCACGCTGTTCGACTCGGCTATAATGATGGCCTGTGCAGTAATCGCCCACCCATCAAGCGCATCCTCCAGTGTGGCAATCGCTGACGTATCCGCAGCCATTGATATCATGCAGGATACACGCATGGGTTCTGGGAGGAGGTCGAAACAAGAAAAGGACTTGCCAGAAGCTGTGAAGATCATCACACTGTTGAAGTCGAAGGCCGAGGCTAAGTGTGCTGGCGATGACGTCGCTGGGCCCCATCCCGTTATTGGTTCGAAGCGGAAGCACGATGAATCTCCCGATTCCAGCAGCTTTGCGGATGATCTGGAGTTACCCTACGTCGGTGCTGGCGTTAAGGTATCTCATTCTATACCGGAGCCTTCAATCGAGACCACTCCCAAACCTCCGACGTCTGTGCCAAGACCTAGAGTTAAGCAGCGTTCAGGTTCGGTGATGCCGGCCGACTCGGGTCGTACATCAGAAGGGCCTCCATTAACTGAGAGGGACGCAGGACAGATTCCAATCCGTGGGCGTCCACGCACAGATCCCACCCTGCTACACCGCAACCTGTCATCCAAGAA